TTTTTTAAATACATAGGGGGTAAAAAGAAGGTACTGGGTAACGTGGGGCCTCTGCAAGATATGTTAGGAAATCTGGTCGTCGCACCAGACGACAAAGCTAACCTATTTAACAATTTCTTTGCCTCCATTTTCCTAAGCAGGGACCGGATCAGCCCATCCGCCGGGACCCCCTCAGGCCCTGGGGGAGGCACACCCAGGCCTAAAGTCAGTGAGGATCTAGTCAGGGAACTTCTGGAGGGACTGGATGCATTTAAATCAGCAGGTCCTGATGAGCTCCGCCCAAGAGTGCTGAGGGAATTAGCAGAGGTCATTGCGGGACACCTGGCACAGCTTTACGAGCACTCATGGTGCTCTGGTGTGGTACCAGATGACTGGAAAAGGGCCAATGTGGTCCCCATTTTCAAAAAAGGGAGGAAGGAGGACCCAGGAAACTATAGGCCAGTCAGTCTTACCTCGATCCTGGGTAAGCTTTTTGAGAGAATTATCCTGGGGCATGTCCACGAGGGGCCAGCAAGGGAGATTAAGCTTAGGGGCAGCCATGGGTTCATTAGAGGCAGGTCCTGTCAGACCAACCTGGTGGCCTTCTATGACCAGGTCACAAAATCCTTAGACGCAGGGGTAGCAGTGGACGTAGTCTTTCTGGACTTTAGGAAGGCTTTCGACACTGTCTCTCACCCCATTCTCATTAAAAACTTGGGAACTGTGGCATCGACACCTACACAGTCAAATGGGTCACTAACTGGCTGGAGAGTGGCACCCAGAGAGTGGTGGTGGATGGGTCATTTTCGACCTGGAGGGATATGTGGGGTCTCCTAGAGCTCGGTCCTCGGGCCTGCACTGTTCAACATCTTCATCAACGACTTGGACGAGGGGGTAAAAAGCACCCTGTTCAAATTTGCTGACAACACTAAGATGTGGGAGGAAGTGGGCACGCTAGAAGGGAGGAATAGGCTGCAATTGGACCTAGACAGGTTACAGGGGTGGGCGGATGAGAACAGGATGGGTTTCAACACTGACAAGTGCAAGGTGCTGCACCTGGGGAGGAAGAACCAGCAGCATACCTACAGGCTGGGGGACTCCCTTCTCGTCAGTGCAGAGGCAGAAAAGGATCTTGGAGTCATTATTGATGCCAAAATGAACATGGGCCAACAGTGTGGGGACGCGGTCAGGAAGGCCAACCACACCTTGTCACGCATCCACAGATGCATCTTGAGCAGGTCCAGGAAGGTGATCCTCCTCCTCTATGCAACACAAGTCAGGCTGCAGTTGGAGTACTGCGTCCAGTTCTGGGCGCCGCACTTCAGGAGGGATGTGGACAACATGGAGAGGGTCCAGAGAAGGGCCACCTGCATGATCAGGAGTCAGCAGGGCAGGCCCTATGAGGAGAAGCTAAGGGACCTGAACTTGTTCAGCCTTCACAAGAGAAGGCTGAGGGGGATCTAGTGGCCATTTACAAACTAGTCAGAGGGGACCAGCAGGCATTGTGGGGGGGGGGTGGTGGTCCCTGCTTCCCCAAGCACTACCAGGAGTGACTAGAAATTGGTGGTGGTCCCTGTTTCCCCAAGCACTACCAGGAGTGACTAGAAATAACGGTCAGAAGCTGGCAGAGGGGAGATTCAGACTAGACATCAGGAGGCGCTACTTCACAGTCAGGGCGCTAGGATCTGGAACCAACTTCCAAGAGAAGTGATGCTGGCTCCTACCCTGGGAGTCTTTAAGAGGAGATTAGATGAACACCTTGCTGGGGTTGTTTGACCCCAGTACTTTTTCCTGCCATGGCAGGGGGTCGGACTTGATGATCTGCTCAGGTCCCTTCGGACCCTACCAACTATAAAACTGTGAAACCCGTCACTCCCTGGGAATACGTGTTAATCAGAGGCCTCTCAACAAATCCTATTACAGCTTCATTAATGACCTTTGGCATTTTAATGATCAAGTTCTGTCCATCATGGCAGATACCAGAGCAATCCATAATCCAGGCCAAAGCAGGGTGATGAAAGGCAGGGAAAGAAAGGTTGGGAAGACATGCAGGCCTGACTACAGAGCAAGGGCCAACAATAACAGTTTTCCTCTGAGAGCTTGGCCCAGATGTGAATAAAAAGGCCTGAGATGGAGTGAGATTCAGGCCAGCTGAGAAGCATGTGTGGAGCATCTCTGGAGGGGGCTGTGGAGCACAGGAGTGGGCTCTGATTGAGGAACAGTTCAATAGACCTATTTGTTACAAGTGGCCCTGATCTGAGGGTGTGTGTTCCAGCTACTAAGGAAACCCCAATGGAGGCTCAGTGTCAGCCAGTAACTTTGGTTCATCTTGGGGGTGGGAGGACTCAGGGATCCCCCTTATACTCTGCTGGGCTGGGAGTGCAGAGGGAGGACTCTGCAGAGGAGGAGAGATCCCACACCTGCAGTGGAGCACTCGGCATAGTCCTACCTACCCAGGTTGCAGGGCTGGGAGGTGGAGCTAGCAGCAAGGGAGTGCTAAAGAGAGCAGTTATGGCTCTCTGCTTCAGCGATGTGAGTTTGAGCCCTGTTTGGGACTGGTGCTAGAGGCTACTGGTAGTTGGTCCAGCTGTAAGTAGGTCCCCAGCTCACTGTGATGCTGACTGGTAGTTGGTCCAGCTGTAAGTAGGTCCCCAGCTCACTGTGATGCTGGCTGCATCCGTTTCTCACATGCCGTGTATACTGGTGTGCCCTAAGCATGCAAGTCTGATGGCCTGTAGGGCTGGGGCAAGCCTTTGACCTGTGATTCTCAATCAGGGTGCCATGAGACCCTTTAAGGTTGCTGTGTAATACTAGCAGTGTTAGGTGTGCAAGAAAAACCCAGTGATTTCAAATAGGAATCCAGTGTGTCAAAACCATTCTGACCTGTTGTGGGCTTTGTTGAGTTCTTTGCACCAGAAGAATGTCTCTATTATTTTTCTGTAGTCAAGAAATGAGTGAAAGCTCAGAGCTGGTGTTTTCTGAGAGGTACCTTGAGCCTTAAAAGAATGAGAGCCACTGCTTTAGGCTGAAGGGTGTTGGGGGAATCTGAAGCTGAGGCAGCTTGACAGAGATACTGAAGCCAAAGTGTGGTCTGGATTTCCGCAGCTCTGGCTATAATGGTAGCTCTGTCCTTCAGTCTCCTGTGCTGAATTACAGGTCCCTCTCATGTACAATCCCAGGGAAATGGGCTGGTTTCTGCCTGCCACAGGAGACTGTTTCCCTGGCAACCACTGATGCCCCAGTGGAGGAAAGGGCAGCGCAGTATCCTTTCCTGTCTTGGAGTTCCCATGTCTTGCCTTCCCTTCCAATTGTGCACCCAGATCCCACCAGCTCCACTTCCCATGCAGTGGGATGCCCCTCAACCTGGCTGTGCTGTGGATCCAGCTGTCCTCTCTGTGCTGTCAAACTGCTGCCCTGGTACCATACCGCCCAGGGAGCTGCATGGGGACTGGCACAGCCTTGGCACACAGCAAGTGTCTGCACCAAGGGCTGGACCTTGCTTCCCTAGGAGGATCCAGCCCAGGGGGAGAATGTGGCTATTGTCTGAGCAAGTTCCATGGCGTTGGTGCACCCAATTAATCTCCATCTCTCTCCTCTGCTTTCTCTCCCCTCTTCCTCCCTTCTCTCTTTCTCCCTCCCCTGCTCTCATTTCCATCCCTTCTCTCTTGCCCTCTCCTTCTCTCCCAGTGCCATTCCCTGGATACCCCTTAGCACAGAATGATTTCCACCGATTCTCCTGCATGCCGCTCCCCCCCTCCCCTCAGACTCCGGAATCCATCACCCTCCCCTGTGCCTGCGGGTACAAAGAGCTCCTAATCACCCTCATTAATTGTCCCCATCCCCAGCCCACCTGGGACTTTTCTCACAAATGGTGCCTGACTTTTCCCCTTCTGTGTTTTGCTTTTTCACCAGAGCCAACAAAGCCCCTGCCCCCCTGTGGACACACTATTTACACAACTGGGACAAATTTCACACCCTGAGACCTCCTGCCCCCTCCTCCCCCCCAGCTCTTACCCCCTGCTCCTGCCCTGACGATTTGAGCCACCAGACCAGGAGGGCTATAAAGGTTTCCTAAAAAAGGCCCCAGGCAGTTGAGACAGACACTCATCCCCAGAACACACCATGGAAGCTGCTGCTCAATCTTTCCCGGTGCTGCGTGGCTGGTTTAACCCTTCCCCTCTCCCCTCAGGCTGCCGGAGCCCTGCTCAGGGGCTAGACCAAGGAGGAAGGTAACTAGGCTCTTGGTCACTGTGTGGCTATAATGCTCCTTCTGTGGGTGAGGTCAGGCTGGAGATGGGACTGGCAGAGGAGGGTGGGGGGTGGGTGCTGCCATGGGCCTGCTGGCAAAGGGGCAGTGGGACCTGGGGTTCGGAGAGGTGGGTGGTGCAGGGGGCAAATGTTCATTCTAAGACTTGGCATCTCTCTTGCCCAAGCACAACTGGGGGCCCCCAGAAACAGCATTGAGACAAGCCTCCAACCCCCTCTGTAACAGGTCCACTTCAGCAATGCTAAACTGAAGCACAGAGGGAGGAAGGGACCTCCATGGCAGCACCAGGTGGAGGACCCAGGGGTCCCTCCATCCATCCTGCTGTAACTGCCAGCCCTTATTCCCTTGCTCCTATTCCTCAGAGTGGAGTGCTGCACAGCCTGTCACACATCCCTGAAAGCTGGATGGGTCAGGATGTAATAAATGGCTCATGATGTAAAGCCACTGGCAGGTTTAGGGAAGCGTAGGTCTGTAAACCCAGTGAATAGGATGAAGAAGCAATGAATTGCCCACAGTGTGAAACATCATGGCTGCAGATTCAAAGTGTGGGGCTGTATTGTCTGTGCATATGGGGTGAGGGGGGTTTGGTGTGTCACACAGGCTTGGCTGGGCAAGGCTGCTGGCGGAGGGGGGTTGTGCAGGGTGCACCTTGGCAGGGATGCTGCTCTCTGCTGGGTTGAGTTGGGGCTTCTCAAAGACACAAAGCTCCTTAACTTGTCCAAGCAAGACCTTTCTCCTTCTCTTGCTCCCACAGATCCCTGCCCCTTTGGAGACCATGGTTGCCCACTGATGAGGGTATTACAAGGCAGAAGGAGGACGAGATGGACATAGTGAGTTTGACACTTGCTTCTGGACCCCTGGCTAAACAGACAAAATTTCAGGGAGCAAAGTCTGAGATGCCCCTCCACAGGCTCCACAGACACCAAAAACTTGCACCACTGCTCGTCCAGTGCCTCACAAGGGCTGACAAGCTCTGCTGAGTGTCTGGTTGATTCACTTGCCTAAGTGCAGAGCCGCTTGGGTGCAGCCATAATCTTTCCAGGTTGGGAGGTCGTTGTGATCCCCAGCAGTTTCTGTGCCATGTCCTGTCAGCAGATGCAGCAAGATGAGGGGCAGGGTTTGCCTTCTTGGGGATCCTGCAAAGATTCAGCATCAACCCTTAGAAATCCAAGGCACAAAAAAACCTTTGCTAGAACCCTTTTTAACATCAGCCATGAGACTGACAAATGCCAGTCAGTTAAAGAGCTGCTAAAGCAGCTGGGGCCCTTGTCTAGCTGGGCTCAATTACACTATTTACACTGCTCATCCTAGACCAATTTTTTTCCAGTTCAGGATGAACGTCTTGCTTGAGGGAGCCCTTGGAGACATTGGGACATGGCCCTAAAGTTCAGGACTGTTACTTTTCCCGTGATGCAGCGGGCCACAGCTAGTGCCAGGAGGGCAGATAACCAGGGCTTGCATGCAGGGGCCAGGGCAAGGCAGAGTGGATGCCTCCTATGCTTGGCCAAGGGGTACTATGACTGCTGCTTGCCTAGGGACACTGTCCTACAGCATCCCTGCTGGTGGGAAGTTTGGAGCCTACGGATACTGCTTCCTGGTTACAGCATTTGGCTGGGGCAGCTGCAGCTTTTGCTAGTGCCAGCAGGCAACTTTACCTTGCTGAGCCCTGTTTGCACCACTTCTCTGAGAGCAGGCAGCTGGCACTCTGTGACTCCCTTATAGACCCTGCCCATCCCTTCCTTCCTTAATGGAGGGTCCATCTTGGCCTCAAGCCCTCACATCAGGGCTTCCCTCTCCTGGAGCCTTCTGGGATGTGGGAAGGGTGGTGGTGGGTGTGTGTGTGTGTGTGTGTGTGTGTGTGTGTGTGTGGGCAGGGGGGGGCTGTCCTTCTTTCTGAAGGCAAGCAGCTGTGATGTGAACCTTCCTCCTGCAGTCAACTGTGTAGGGCGCTGCCAAGCTCTAAAGGGAGTGCTGGCTTAAATCCACACATGGCCCCTTGCCTATGGTAGCTCTGGAGGATGCATGGGTTTAAGGCCTCTTAAGTAAACACAGAGGCCTCTGTTGCAGTGTGAAAGGGAGGCCTGTTGCTTGGGCCAGGGAAGGAATTCCTTAGGAGGGTAGCCTAGTGCTGGGCAGGGATTTGGCTCATGGGGAGATTATACTGGATAAAACCCTCATGAGAGTGAGAGCCAGTGCCTTCATTTTCTTCTCAGTCTCACCAGTGGGGTGAAGGCTGCGGGGTCCTTGTGGCTACCCTGGGGCCTAGGGGGCAGGTTCAACCCCATCATGGGGTTGGCATCTGCCCTGTGGGCTGTGCAGCATGGGCAGCCTACTTGGCTGTGTGCAATCTCCTGAGGGGCAGGGAGAGACCAGTGTGCTCTCACTGGTTAAGTTCCCTTAACCCTGTCCTGTCAGGGTGGGGAGAATGGTGCCAGGCAGTGGAGGCACAGATCCAGGGGAGATGGAAAGCCTCATGAGGGCATCTGGCCCCTCACATCATACCTGCAGTGCAGCCCCTGGGGCACTAAGCCCACCCCTCCCTGAGACAAATTCCATGGTCTCCTAGCCTTGAAGCTTTCCCTACTATTTAGCCAAAACTTTCCTTCTTTTCCTCTCATCCTGTCACTCCTCAGAGCTTCCTCAGAGGCTACACTGGGGGCCTGATCCCTGACTGACTGCTCCCTGGTGAGAGTCTCTGGGGAACACCCAACATGGCAGCATCTAGAGCTGGCAAGGCCTGTGTGGAGATTTCCTGTCCCTGCTGGTATACAGCTGGTCCTTGCAGTGAACTATCTGGGGCTGGGGCTGGCCTGGATCTAACCCAAGAACAAGGGGATGTGGGGAAGATGCAAATCTGGAGCTGGTTATATCCTGTGGCAGTGAATTCCCCAGGCTGCTGCCAAGGCCAAGGGCTTTAGCACTATCCAACTGGATTCACTTTGCATCAAGAACTTCCTGCATTAGCACAGGTCACACAATCAAAGGAATTCAACAAGAGCCCTCGAGCCTGGGGGCATCTGCCATCCAGTGCCCATTGGCAGGAGAGGGCTGCCCCCGATGGGAGGGAAAAACCATTCAGTGTTTCACTCTCTGAGGAAGTTGGTGCTGGCCCCTCTCAGAGACAGGCCACTACTCTGGATAGAGCTCAGTTCTCCTCTAGGGTTAATCACTCAAGTGATGGTGGCTGCTCCACTTAGGAGCTGGCTCCAGGCTGATGGAACCGACGGACAAGGGGATTGTTCCTACTGTTCAGCTGAACTGTTCCTTGTCTTGGTTCCATCCAAGTCCTCTCCATTTGAGCCCATTGCACCAGCTACATTCACCCAACCCTTGCACCACCACAGGGGCCCATCTAACCTCACCCTGGGGCAGGGCTGTGGTGTGTGCGCTGCGAATGGCACATCCCAACCCCCGCTTTTTGTTTCCCAAGGCCTATGGTGGTGAGGTGATGGGGGATGATGAGCCCAGCAAAGCATTGGCGCTTTTCCGGCACCCTGTCAGGTACGTGTGCAGGATGGACCCCATGTGCCTGCTTCCTGTCATTGATGGGGTGTTTAGAGCTCCTGGAAATGAGGGACCAATGGTGCTGGCTACAGTCATGTCAATCTCATGCAAGCAGCAATGCTGAAGCTCCCCTTGCTCTCCCAGCCCTGCCCCCCTTTTCCTAGTGCCCTCATGCCTGACTTGCCGCTCCTGCTACTCCACTACTTCTCACAGCCAGCCCTGTCCCTGCCCCTCTCTGATGCCCTCCCATACCTTCCATTGTCCCAGACAGGGCCCCTGGCAGGACAGGCTGGGCCTTCCCTTCCCTTAGCTGTTACCAGGAGGAAGTGAGAGAACTTGTATTTCTCAAGCCTGTTTTTCCCCCAGACTTTTCTGGCCAAAGTCCAAGTCCTTCGACTACCTGTACAGCGAGGGCGAGAAGCTGCTGGAGAACTTCCCAGTGCAAGCCACCATCAACCTCTATGAGGACTCTGACAGCGAGGAGGAGGAGGAAGAGGAAGAGTACGGGTGGGAGGAAGGTCAGGTGGAGGATATGGGGAAGCAGGCAGGGGAGATGGTGCTTTTGCAGGGGGTAGATGCCTGCCAGCCCTGTCTGAAATGAACCCCGAGGCACCCAGCACATGTGGGAAAGACCCAGCCAGAGTGGCAAATGGTGGCCCCCTTCTCTTGCAGAGCTGAGACTTCACACTGGCTGGTTGAGAAGTGGCTGTCACCCACAGGGGTCCCTCCCACTGGGGGCATGCATGAGTGCAAAGGGAATCTAGCAGACCTGGCCATTTTCTATTGCAGTACTCAGGACTTAACCCAAAGCAGCTGGCACTGAGAGGGGAAATCCGCACCATGGTTGGAAGTGGGAGGGGGAACAGGATTAGTAGGTCTCCAGCAGGGGGTGCAGTTCACTGCAGGGTGTTCCAGGAGTAGGCATTTGTAGGCATCACAGCAGGGTGTGCCAACATCTCTGCTAAAAGTGTAGGGCCCCATTTGTGCTTCAGATTATGACCACTCCTGAGCATATCCAATGTCCTGTGAGAGGTGTGGCTGGGATGGGCCTGTCCTGTTGTACCAGAGCCTTTCTGAGAGGGTCAGGGAGAAGAGTGAGGGCCCGGAGCCCTGCCTGGAAGGTTGTGGGTTGTGGGGTCCAGGCAGAGCTTGGAAGCTCCCACACTTACATTGGGCCTGAACCTTGCTATTCCAGTGGCTAATGTGTATGTTGGGCCGAGGCATGCAATAAAGTGAAAGATGCTGTAACCTCAGGGGTACTGGGAAATGTCTTCTTTATCCCATCGCCAGGAAATCTGTTCCTCACAGTAAAGAGGGCAAGAAGGGGTTCCAGGGAGGGGTGGGGCAAAATCATCACAACATCCCATGCCAAAGTGAGGGAAAGCTGGACTATGGCTGGAGAACAAGAGGCAGCAGGAACCCCTGCATTAGGAGCTGTGTCTTTGCTCAGACCCTCAGTTTGGCTGTGGCTTCTAGGCACCAGGAAGAGCTCAGCCCACCTGGGAAGCGATTGGCTGGAGACTTGATTCCAGAGCGGTGAAGGGGCCATGGGACTGGAAGGGCTGCTGTTGCCAGCTGACGCCCTAGCACAGGAAGGAGCAAGACGATGCCAGCATTTCTGGACATTGGCTAGGCGCTGGGCTGCCTTGAATGGGAATGGGGTGGTATTTGGGGGGTGAGGAGGCTGCACTGAGGGTCCCCAGCTTCTTAGCATGCTTTGACTTTAGAGCATAGCATCTGCTGGGACTCAACATTTTATATCAAACCACTCCAATAGCCCCATCTCGTGGCCAAATGCAGCAAGGCTGAGGGCCAGCCCAAAGGAAAATCAGAAAGTGTGGTCTGGTGCTCCTGGCTGGGATCAAGAGCAGAGGGCTAGTCCTGCTCCTGTTACTGACTCTCTACTCCTGTCTGTGTTTCCCACCACATCCTGGCTCCTGAGGGAGGTGGTTTCCAGTGGGCTTGGAAGTCACTTCCCTTGGAGGAGGCTATCTCTGGGCTGGCTCCTCCACTGTGTACCTGAGGACTGTAGGAAAGCAGCTCAGGTCAGTGCTGGTGCCTCTCTGAAGCAGGTGTGTGTAGTGCAGGCACTTATGCCAGATGGGGTCTAGGTCCTGTGGAACTGCAGCTGGAAGTGGACTCCTCCAGAAGTTTGGGTACAGGGAGGAGACTCCCTCCCCACACATGCACACATTTCAGACTGTGTGCAGCCAGGCATCTACAGTTACGCAGGCATAGTTCAGAGAAGTCCTATGTGAGGGCCACTCTTCCCCTGCCTCACAGTGCCCACCTTAGTGTGTTGAAGTCAGCATCCAAACAGGCCTCTTGGGCTGTGAACTAAGTGTCCATTTACTGACAGGTCCCACAATAACCAGCTCTATGGGTTTGGCACCTGTGTGGGCATAGACCAGGACAGTCCTGCTTCAGAGCTTTCCCTGCTGAGCATACTCTGGCTCATGCATCATCTAGGCCTTTGTCACTCTGTTGTGGCTGCAGAATCTTTCATCCTGGGTGATTCACCAGCCAGCCCCAGCTTGGCTTCAGATCCTGAAGAAGCTTGTGGTACTGACAGCTGAGGGGAAAATACCCTCATGCTTATGGAAAAATCTACATTGGGCCCAGAAGCAGTAAAAGGAAGAAGTCTAGGACACCTCCCTCCTCCCCCATGCATTTTTACACTTGTTTTCTGAAGAATTTGACACTTTCCAGCCAAAGAGGAAAAAACCCAGTCAGAGCCCAAGATACTCAGTGACTTGGCCTGAGCCCAAAGACCAATGGCTCAGCGCCATCCCCTAGAAATCCTGTGCCCCACAGGGGCTCATCTCTTTCCTCTACAAGTTTTCAGTTGGTGTGTTCCCCAGGGTGCTGGTTACGTCAGGGACTGTCTCCTTGTCCTGAGGGACATGGATTTCCATTCCAGCAATAGCAGCTGGTGCCCCATGCATTGAACCAGGCTGCCTGAGCAGATGGAGTGATGACACCAGTGCTGCTCTGGGCTGGATGGCTAAGGCTGGGTTGAATGTTCCCTGGTGTCTGATGCTTTGCCAAGAGCACAATATAGCAGAGGATGAAAAAGGAAGAAAAGACACTGCTTTTAAGAAGATCTCCATTCTTTGGCTCCTGTTTAGAGACCAGCTAGTCTAGGAACAGTGCACAGGATGTCTGATAGTCTGAAGACATGATCCAGCTGTGAGAACATCCTCCCATCTAGCAAGGAAGCAAAGGAGAGTGTTGGGGGCTTATTTGAGACTGAAGGGGCAGCAGAGCCCTTTGCATCAGAGACTGTGGCTGCCCAATAGACAGGACAGTAAGGTGCTTTGTTTAATTTCCTAGGCTATCAAACAGACGCCATCTGACGAGGTTTTCACCCCATGCTCTCCTGGACTGTGGTGGAAGCAGCTAACTGAAGGTGATTGGCTCCATACTCACAACTCACTCCCAGGGATATCACTCTTAAACCTTTGCTCACCTTGACTCAGCTTATTAGGCAGCCCTTGTGCTACCCAGCAAACAAAGTGCCACTGTCACCACCTGTGAGCTGCATTGTGCCAATGCAGTAGAAGAAGGGAGGGCAACCTGTGGCACAAGTTGACAGACTGTGGGTGGCACATAGCAGACTGGGCAGGTGGCAGGCAGCACAATGACAGATAGGGCAGGGAGCAGAAAACGGAGCAGAAGGGGCAGGGAGAACAGGGCAGGGAGCAGAAAGAGCAGCAAACTGATCAGGGGAAGGGGATCAGAGTGGCACTCAAGAAGGGCATTGGGCTTATCTGTCAAAAAAGGTTGGTCTTCACTGCAGTGGAACATGGATTTGAACCTTGTGGCATTTTTAGCCATCACCTCCAATGGCCCAGCATTGCCCATGGTGCAACTCCAGCCAGGGGGTTCCTACTGCATTGTGTAACCCTGAAACAGAATACACTGCGGCATCCCACAGGGGTGACTTTTTCTTCTGTCTAGAGATGGTGGCAGGTTTGGGATTGTGCTTATAGCATACTGCACTGTATTTGTGCATGCACCTCTGTGCTGGAACTGAACCTCTGGAGCAAAACAGGCACAGTTCTGAAAACACCACAGCCATTAACTGAGCTTGTATGGGAGAGGGGAGGATAATCATATCCCCTGAAGCAGTGCTGGTTTGCCATCTCTTTTCCAGCTGTGGTATCCACCTCTTTTCCAGCATGAGCTCCTGCTGACCCCTAGTGAGCACTAGAAGTAGCACACATCCCCACCTTGCTGAATTTTTTTTGGGGGCGGGGGGGCGAGGGAGAGGATGAATGTTGCAAAGTTCAAGACTGTCAGACTCTTGAGCTACTTTTTTCCAGTGGTGAAGCTGGTTCCTAAAGCTTCTGAGAGTGTCTCGCCTTCCGGCTTGGTTCAGCTACACACAAAACTCACAAAGAAGTACCTTGTGCTCTGAATTAAAGATTAATGACCCCTCTGAACACCAGGCTGCCCCAAATGGGAGCCTTGGGCCTGGGCCAGCAACTCCAAGGACTTAGCTGCTTGCCTCTCCCTCTGCTTTTGCAAAGCCAAATTCTGAGTATCCATCAGCAGTGTTGACATCAGTTCTCATTTGTAGGTAAAGGTGCCTGTCCCTCTGCTTGGCCACTTTCTAGCACAGTCCCCAGCCCCATTTGAACCGCAAATATCTTAGGAAAAAATGAGGCAGGCAGCATGCCATGAAGAACAGTTCAAGCTAGGGCTCTGAGAAGCTAGGCAGTGGCTCAGGCATTTCCAAAGGCACCTGGCAGTGTTGTTTTTAATTTGTCATAAGGCTTGTTTCACTAACAAATAGACCTGTTTTTTTCCCATGAGGTACTGGGCTCTTTTGACTCAGAGTGAATTTATTCATTTATATTGTGAGTCCCCTGGTGCAGCTTTATGAGCACTCGTGGTGCTCTGGAGAGGTGCCGGAGGACTGGAAGAGGGCCAACGTGGTTCTCATCTTCAAAAAGGGGAGGAAGGAGGACCCAGGAAACTATAGGCCAGTCAGTCTTACCTCGATCCTGGGCAAGCTGTTCGAGAAAATTATTCTGGCACACATCCAGGAGAGGCCAGCAGGGAAATGCATGCTCAGGGGCAACCAGCACGGGTTCATCAGTGGCAGGTCATGTCAGACCAACCTGGTGGCCTTCTATGATCAGGTCACTAAATCATTGGATGCAGGGGTAGCAGTGGATATAGTTTTCCTGGACTTCCGGAAGGCTTTCAACACTGTCTCTCACCCCGTTCTCATTAGGAAACTGGGGGACTGTGGCGTAGACACCCACATAGTCCAATGGGTCGCCAACTGGCTAGAGAGCTGCACCCAGAGGGTGGTAGTGGATGGGTCCTTCTCAGCCTGGAAAGACGTGGGCAGTGGGGTCCCGCAGGGCTCGGTCCTCGGGCCCGCCCTGTTCAACATCTTCATCAGTGATTTGGATGAGGGGGTGCAAAGCACCCTGTTCAAATTTGCTGATGACACCAAGATGTGGGGGGATGTGGGCACAATAGAAGGGAGCAACAGGCTACAGTCAGACCTTGACAGGTTACAAGGATGGGCGGAGGAGAACAGGATGGGGTTTAACACAGACAAGTGCAAGGTGATGCACCTGGGGAGGAACAACCGGCACCATACCTACAGGCTGGGGAACTCCCCTCTTGTCAGCACGGAGGTGGAAAAGGATCTTGGAGTCATTATTGACTCCAAGATGAACATGGCTCGGCAGTGTGGGGAGGCGGCTAGGAAGGCCAACTGTACCTTGTCGTGCATCCACAGATGCATTTCAAGCAGGACCAAGGAGGTGATCCCCCCCCTCTATGCGGCACTGGTCAGGCCGCAGCTAGAGTACTGTGTCCAGTTCTGGGAGCCGCACTTTAAGAGGGATGTGGACAGCATCGAGAGGGGCCAGAGGAGGGCCACTCGCATGATCAAGGGACAGCAGGGCAGGTCCTATGAGGAAAGGTTACGGGACCTGAACCTGTTCAGCCTCCAGAAGAGAAGGCTGAGGGGGGATCTTGTGGCCTGCTATAAACTAGTCGGGGGGGATCAACAGGCACTGGGGGAGTCCCTGTCCCCCCGGGCGCCGCCAGGAGTGACCAGGAATAACGGTCACAAGCTGGCGGAGGGAAGGTTTAAGTTGGACATCAGGAGGCGCTACTTCACGGTCAGGGCGGCTAGGGTCTGGAACCAGCTTCCAAGTGAGGTGGTGCAGGCTCCCACCCTGGGGGTTTTTAAGAGGAGGTTAGATGACCATCTTGCTGGGGTCGTTTGACCCCCAGTACTCTTTCCTGCCATGGCAGGGGGTCGGACTAGATGATCTGCCCAGGTCCCTTCCGACCCTAGAAACTATGAAACTATGAAACTATTTCACAGGATCAGACTATAATATCCCCTGTTAGGCTTGATTTGACTCCTACTGACTTTAGTAGGAGTTTTTTTTTGGACTCAATGAGAGTTAAATCTGGTCTGTGCAATGTTCATGTGTACAACACTAGATCCACTGCAGGAGACTACGGGGAGGAGTGGGCAATTATTTTGGCTGGAGGGCTGATTAGCGAGTTTTGGCAAGCTGTCGAGGGCCACATGGGTAGCTCCACCCCTTGGTCACCATCTTGTCACTGGAAGTCCTGCCCCTAACCCCTGACCGTTGCCACCAGAAATCTCTTCCTTTGCCCACGGAAGTACGCCTTTCAGCAAAGGGTTTGGCCATCTCGGAACCAGAAAAATACCAAATTATATTCTAAAAAGAGAACATCAAAAACATTTATTAATTTGATTTAAAAAAATACTTGTCCTGGTTTACATGCGTTTGTGTAGTGTACATAGAGGTGATTGTATATAATAGCTTAAACTGAAGTCTTACTCTTGTATATTATGGGAGGGGTATAGGTTTGTGGGGGGCTGTGGGTGTGTGGGGAGGATGTGGGTGTGTCTGGAGCGTGGATAGGTGTGGAGTGAGGAAGCATGTGGGTGGGTATGGGGCTTGTGGTGGGCTGTGTGAGAGGGGGAGGGTGGCTGGGATGTGAAGGGGTGTGGGTGTTGGGGGTCTGTGTGTATGGTAGTGCAACGGGGGGTATGGGTGCATGTGCATGGTGGGGTATGCATGTGGGACTCACCCTACGAACACACTCACATTATGAGCACAGGCCCTGTGCTCCCCGGTCCAGCAATGCAGCTGGGAGCCACATGGTGCTGGAGCAGGGCAGGGGCAGGGAAGCAGGGAAATGGCTGGTGGTGGGGCAGGGCTGAGCAGCTGTGTCCTGCTGCCAGCTTCCCCGTGTCCTACTGCCCCTGGCTCCTGTTATCTTTGACAGGCTGCCAGGAGCAGATAAATATTAATTTTCTAAATTTTGAAGGGGCTCCATGGGCCAGATAGAATGGCCTGATGGGCCAGGTACGGCTAGTGGGCCATATTTTGCCTGCCCCTGCTATAGGGCAACAATGGGCAGGAGGCATAAGTCAAGCTCGTGGCTACCCTTCAGTCCCAGACCAGTGGACAGTGGTGTTGAGTTCTATTATGTTCCATATCTCAGCAGCTCGTCAACTGTAGATCACAGACCTGCCATGCAAAGAGAATCAAACAGAGCAGCTGTGAGCACAGATCAGACCAGGAGCACTCATCATCCAGCTTTCAAGCTTCCTTGTGCTTCTTTAAAAGCAATCGTGCAGCTAAATTTGCAGCCCATCTTCCTTTGCTGCTATGATCTAAGAGAACCTCAGCAACTGGACAGTGGAGTGATCCGAGGCAAGTGAGACCTAAGAAAGCTAAGGAGATCTAAAGAGGAGAATGAGCAAAAAAAGGGCAAGAAAACGCTAGGCAATGCAGGTGAGCTCAGTACCCACAGGCTTGATGGTGGTGATCACCCTCTGTAAGCGGCAAGGATGTAGCCAGGGCGCTTGCAGTAAAAAGACCCTGCAGGGTGCTTGAGGCAGCAAAGCCTTGACTCAGATCACCTTGCAGGGGAGGTGATGATCAATCACCAATGGCAATCACCATGATTACCATGGTGGTTTTCCCAGGGACAGGGGATAGCCACCTTTCTGGCATGGGGTAGTACCCACAGAGGTAATGTATCCCTTCCACTTTCTCTTCCAGTGGGAAGATCTCGGCTTCACACCCACTTTATGGAACTGGGAGACTCCTCCCTAGCTTGCTCCTGCAGCCATACGGCTGAGGGCAAGCAAAACCCAGGGGCATCTGAACCTCAAGCATCTGGGCTTAGGTCTGCACGTAGAATGCCCGCCAAATGATCTGGAAACATTCAAAGCCCCAGGTGGGGGTGAAAGATGTCTGCTGATAGTAGGGCCATATATGGTTCTTAAATGATTCATGGATTTGGAATGGATTTGGCTGATTTGTCTTGGAACACAACACATTTTCCTTTAAAAGAATGTCTTTGTGAACTAAGATCAAGTGGGGGCATCTGAACCCCAAGATCACTGGGCTTGGGCCTCCATGTAGGATGCCTGCCAATGAATTTGGGAGTATCTGAGGTCCCAGGGTAAGAGCCTGGGATGGAGGATGCTGGCTGGTAATAGCGCCATACATGGTGTTTGGAACAATTGAGTTCTGCTCAATCAATACGATTTGGAACTGATTTGGTTGATTTGACCTGGAACATGAAAAACATTTATTATTATTATTATTATTATTATTATTAAAGAGGCTGAACAGACAGTGATACAGGTAACCACTGCCTGAACTTTGTTGCACCCAAAAGCAGCTGCCTGCCGACTTCACGGCCTCCTGGCCAGGCAGCATGTTTGGGGCTGGCCCCATGAGTGCAGGACCCGAGCGCAAGGGGCCGCGCCAAGCGCCTGGCAGGAGAGTGGCTGCCTGGGCGAAGACGGCGTCCAGAGCGCACCTACCTGCCCGCCCGGGCAGTGGCAGAGGAGACCCCCCATGGGCTGCAGCTCCCCCTACCCCGCTCTCAAACGGCCCGGCAAGAGCATCTTTGATTGGAGACTGCAGGGGCAAGGCCCCGCCTTCCCAGCTCACGACTGGTTACAACAGAAGGCGGCGCCCGCCTTCCGCGCCCCACGATTGGGCAGATGGGAAGGAGAGCCACCGCTTTAGCGACCGTCTGATTGGATCGTTGCCACCGTCTTGTTTTGGGGTTGGTCAAGGCGGGCGGCGCGGCTCCGCCCCTTCTCTCAGCGGGTGGCGACGGCTGAGGCTAGGGGGGGGAGTTGCCGGTTGGACGCGCCGCGGGGCATGAGGTACTCGGGGCGGGAGCCGGGAGCCGGGCTGGGGCAGGCATTCCCCCGCCCTCTACCCGGTCTCGGGGCCCCTCCCCCGCGCGTCAGCAGCCTCCGCTTCTCCTCCCCCCACCCCCCACGGGAGCTCCGGGGCCGCCGCGTGGCCCCAGCGCAGGGGCGGGCAGCGGCAACAGCGGCCCCGCGGCGCATCCCTGCCGCCCCCTCGCCGTCGCCATGGCAACCTGCTGTGGCCGCGGTATTTATAGCGGAGGGAAGCACGCGGGGGCGGGGATCGCGCCTGTCCGCCCCCGGCCAGGAAGATCCTCCGCGTGCGGGAGCTGCACCCCCCGCCAGGGGTGGAAAGGAGGCGCCGGCCGCGGAAAGGGGCTGCAGGGCCCCGGGGCGGCGTCGCACACTGAAGGGCCCCGCAGCCGCGTGCGTGGGTGGGTGGGCGGGCGGGCGAGGGTCTCCCGTGGGAGCGTGGCTGCCTGCTGCCAGCCCCTGGCTGCTCCAGCGTGGGTTGCCCGCGAGCGGCCCCAGCCGGGTCCCTCGCTAGGGTCAGGCTGGAACAGTGGCATCCCGTCCCCCCGTGTTGTCTGAGCATTGGCAGGGGGGGCTCCCGAGGGGACACCGGTATAAAGCTTCGTGTCACTTGGAAGTGCAGGAGAGAACAGGGATCTGTGGGCAGCCCTCTCCTTGCACCCACCCTTCCCTCATCACATGTTTTTTTTTTTTCTTAATGAAAACAGGACTAAGGAAATAGTAGCCAGGGCTGTTTCTGCTCAGGGCTGACATCAGCAACCATCTTGTTTTTCAGGGAAGATCCTGGAGGATGCTTCAGGATTCCAGGGGTTTGCCACTTCATGTCGTAGGGATTGACAGCTTCTTTCCTGGGTTGCTCGTCCAGAGGTTTAGAAGGAGAGGGACAAAAATTTTTTTTCCAGCCCTAAAAGCACCTGCGCTCGACTGTGGTGGCATGTGAGCAGGCAGTTCTTTCACTTATTATCTTGCTGTCCTACTTCTCCTCAGCTCAGTTCCAGCCTGAGTTCTGCAGTCAGTCTTTTTGCAGACTGCGAGAGCCATTGCTCCATGCCTTGGAAAGCTTTACTTACATCAGCTGCAGGCTTATTCTGTTTTTTCTAACCATTCTTGGTACAGGGACTGCCATGTTGAAAGAATGGAGTTGTGGTGTTAAGTGGTAGGCGCAGTAGGGGTAAGCAGAAAGGTGGCTTGTGAGGATCAGTCTTCATGTTCCTTTGAGATTAGAAACAGCTGCTTTCTGCTGCTGGAAGGATGAGATTCCTGGATTTTTAAGATATTTGTTTCTAGTATTTGTGCTTAGGAGCTCAACTTGTGGGCCAGCGTGCACTTCTGGTAGTTGCTATATAAACGCAGAACAAACAGGTGGTCGCAACCCCCGGAAGCTATCAGACCAGGCAGGGCTTGTGTAGGAGTGTTCCCTTGTCATCTGCCTGGGTGTTAATCCTAAAGCTAGTAAATTTCAGGGCCATTTTTCAAGCCCAGTAGCTTGGTGACTGCAAGCTTTGTAGGCTAACTGTGATCAGACCTCTCATCTGGTGAGGTGATCTTACTTGATTTCAGAATGTTGGCTGGCTTTGGGTTCTGCATGCTTCCAGGCAACCAGGGTTGGTATTTTACAGGGCTGATCCTGTGAACTGTTTGAGTGACCTTGATCTCTCTCAGGTTTGAGAGCTGAGGCTATTTAGCAGGTCGCAGGACTGGGCTCTGTGCTCTCAAACTAGTAGGCAGAGCTTTCCCTGGCAAGGAGGAGCTCTCCCTGCCTGACCGCAGGATGGAGCTAGGTGTTAGACACAACCTGAAAAGCACTCTTTGTGAGCTTGTATGTTTCTTTCCTGCTCCCCGCTAAGGCTAGATGATAAGAGGCTACCAGGTAAAAGGTGGGGACTGGGATGTGTGCTTTATCTTCTGCACAACTGATGAGTAACAAGCCATGAGGATGTGCTTTTCCTCATTCCTTACTGAAGTGGTGCATGTTGTTCCCAGAGAGCTGAACATGGGAATTTCTGTCGACTTTAGGGTCTGTTGCTTAGGGTGTTCTGGGGTCACACCTCAGAGTGGGGAGCTGTGATGCAGGGAGCAGAGGCTGAATGGAAGTGCAGGCTGGGAGGACTGAAAGCAGGTTGGATGTTCTGGCAAAGGCTCCAGGGCCAGCTGCCAGGCTGCTTAGCATTGCAGGTACTAAAGGAGCCTGGAGGAGATGTTGAATAAATCAGAGTTTCTCAGGGAGGGAGAGCATGTAGCTAAGATCTGTAGCAGGCTTCCCCAGCCTGGGCCCAAGAAAGTGCTAGTTTTCCTTCCAATTTGGTGGAATCAAGGGGCTGCCAGGCTGAGGCTTTGTGCAATTCCTGACTCTCCTGTTTTCTTCCCAACAGGTAGGTGACTGCCCTGAGTGTCTGAGGGAGGCAGCATGGCAAGTAAGTATTTCCCAGGATGGGTCTCTGAAACGATGGGTGGGGTGGGCTCGCAGCCCCTTCTTGAGAGAAGTGGGGGACACATCATCTTCTGTACTTGGAGGGGAGGCAAAGGGCTGTCAGTCACCTCCTTGAGGTGAGGGAGTTGTCCCTTATGCCTAGCAGATGTGGCAACATTGTGGCTCTTGCAGAAGATGGTAGAAGTATGGCCTTTGTAAGTCTTTCTGCATTTCTCTGTAGTATTTCCTGGCCAGAAGAATCTGGAGGTTCCTCTGCTGTAGAGGAGTTGTTCAAGGTGTGCTGAAGAGACTGACCGTCAACCCCCACTTCCTCCCCATGCAGTAATGCATTTGCTGTCACACTTCTCTTTGGATGAGACCTGTTCACTTTAGAGTTCTGTTCCCAGCCACTGTGGGCAGGGGTTTGCTGGCATAGTTGCTTTGATTGTGCTGAGTCCTGTTCTCCCCTTCTTGCGTGCACTGGTCACTCTGTAGGTGGCCCCAGTAGTCCACTTTGCTATGCACTGCCTGGTACAGAGGTCATAATAAGTCCATTGCCTGCATAAGTAGTGGAGCACAGGTACTGGCATTGATGTGTACGTGGTGTTTATTGCAGTAAACTCCAGCACCAGTTGAGCTTTGTTTTGCTTCATCTGCTAGTGTGGCTTAGAAGAGCGCATACTAGAACCAGGCCTGAGGGGCTGGTCCAGCAGTTTTATATCGGTGAGCTCTATAGCTGAGAGGGTAAGTTCTTGGAGCAGAGGGCTGAGCCATGAGCATGTGGAGGGACTGTAGTTTTGATGCAGATAAAGCTGGGGCCATGCTTCAGGCATAGGATGGAAAGTGGACTCGATATCTAAAGAGCTGGACCCGAACACTCCCTACTCACTTTTCCATGCAGCCTGATGTGCTGCTGGGTAGCACAGAGGCTGCATGCAGTGCTGTCATGAGAGCTGTGGAGGACAGCAATGATTCTAAACCAGGACACCACAAAGCCAGTCTGGGCAATGGCAGAGAGAGAGCTTGCTGGGATTGCAAGGTCTCTTTGGGGACTCCAGGGATCCAGACTTGACAGAGGTGATGCTGGTTGAATAGCTGGAGGAGGAGTCATGGAATGAAGGGTCCTCCATGCCAGGTATGCAATTCTCTGTTGTAATGCCTACTGTACCAATGGGCAGGCTAGCCTCACATGGTCAGGGAGAGGGTCTGAGGTAACATGCTTGCTGCCATTGACTGTTTTCAAAGGCAGAGGGAGTCTTCCATGACAGTGGAAGTGCTCACATCTCTCTAACCTGCCAAGCCCCTTCCCAATAATCCTTCAACTCTGGCCATCTCCTTGGTAGCCCTGGCCAGCACAGTGCCTTTCTGGCTGCTACTCCATATCTAGGTGTAGGCTTTCAGAGCCGCTGTAATTAAAGCGCCTTCAGCGTCACATGTATTTAGCATCCCACACTTCAAAATGGTGGTGGGGTGATTTAACTAAAGCTCATCAAATGAGCCATTTTGAAATGTGGGGATGCTGAAAAGATGTGATTCAGAGGCTGCTGGAGCACGCTAATTAACATGCTTCAGCAGACTCTCTGCAGGCCCAATCGAGTTTGCTCTGATGTGCTAATTGGCAGGTGTCAGAGCAGAGCTCTCTCATGTGTATAGGTGCCCTGTGTGCTCCTAAGGGAAGTTGGTAGAAGTGTGTGATATCTCTGTGCCTTTGTACGTCTCCCCCATGATCCAGTTTTGGACCTGCAGAAGTGCATATGGCCCTTTCTTTCATTCAGTCGGTCTTCCTGGCACCATTCAGGGCAGGCTCTCCCACCTTTCCTCCCCCAGGCACTGCTTTGCACGCCCTCACTTGCATCCTCAACACTCACATCACTTCAGGGCATTTTGCTTGCAATGAACAGTCTTGGTTAGTCACATTATTCTAATTCCCAGGAGTTCCCTGTCCTTTCCTTGCCCTAAAATCCAAGAAGGGAAGCAGTGAGTTAGGAACTCCATCCCTATCCTTGTAACTTTGCAATGTCTCTGATCCAATGCAAGGAAGAAGAGGCATTGTTTTACTAACAATGGGGTAGAATTAGTACTGGGTTTTTGTCACAGGTCCTGCTGTTCCAAAGGATGATTGAGCTGTTACTTTTTTTTTTATTGACCTGCCTATTTCTTTTGCATTATAGTGGACTCTATTGCATTAGAGACATCCCAGAGCAGGGACAGAATTGAGTGACCAGGATCCTCAGTGGTGGACAAACTTGGGGAAAGCAAAGAATGTCCATGACATTTCAGGACCTGCAGAGGAAGATTTGAAGGAGGTTGGAGTGATCATCCCAATGTATGGAGGAGAGCACAAGGTTCACTTCTGAAAGATGGGGCAGGGCAAGGCCAGTCTCCTCTCAGCAAAAGAGGAAACAAGTTGTACAGACCAGCAGTTCCTTCATGTAACCTCCATTGAATATACAAGGGCTCAAGAAAGACTGACCCAGCAGCCCATCCCTGCACTGCCTGCTCCGTGCTGTGTTGCGGGTTTGGACAGTGCCACCCTTGGGGCAGTTTTCTTCTCTCCTGCTCCCCCATCAGTCCTTTGCAGACTGAAGAAAATGAAGGAGAATGGGGATCGCAGAGAGATGCACGTTCACCCCATAACCTCTTGCCCTTGGTTTTGTAAATATGTTCTGCTGTGCTGTCACAGCTGGACTGCATGATTGAAATTGCAGAATAAAGTAGCTTCTGGAGAAAACTCCCTAGTGTGCAGCATTTGTGCTGTTCTTTGTCCATGCAGCAGCAGTTCTGGCCTCCACAAACCCCTTCACCCTAACCAATCCATACTAAATCTTGGCAGGGGAGGAGAGGGGAGAAATCAGTTCATAAACCATGTAAAAATTGATCCCACCACTAAATATGGCAGCACATCAGAGTAGTAATTGCTTATGAATACAGGTGCATCAGGACCTCTAGTGTACTCTGTAGGATCCCTTGCTGTACGCACTGAGGGCAGGATAAATGAAAGTCATTGAGTGGAAGGAGAAATCGGACACTAGCACAGCAGTAAGTATGGCCCCTAATTAACAAGGGAGTAGCAGTTACCTAAGTTAGGCCTAACCTTGACTAGGACTGTATGTGAGCACAGAGTGCTTGAATTTGCACAAGATGTGACTTCTTCCCCCTCCCACTTAGGCAGCCATTGTGCCTTGCTGTGCCAAGGTTGCTGCCTTCTCCCTGCTCTGAATGTTAGGCAAATTGTGGTGGGCAGGTGTTCAAAATACTGTTCTGTAGCATCGCCCTGGCAAATGCCACCTTTGCCTCACTGATGCCAGTGTTTAGTGCCTTCTGGATACAGGTGAAGCAACATGTCTGGCTTTGTATAACCTAGGAATGGTTTGAGGAGCCAAGGCAGGGGTCACAAACAGCATTCCTGTTGCTTGTTTTACAGAGTCTGGAGTGTTTGACCACTCTGGGTACACTTGAATTATCTTCCTATGTGCATGGCCCCTTCTTACTCATGCCTTTATTCCTGGCTTGCTGGGCCAGGGCCTGGGATTGGTCCTGTCCATCAAACCCATGGAACCCATTTACTTCTCAGTAAACCTAGTTAATTTGACTGATCTCTGGTATGTTGGCTGCCCTGCTGTGCTATGTGTAGTGCTATGTTATTACAAGCTCTGTGGTGAGATTCCTCTGGGCTCTGCCGTCTCAGACTGGGACCCAACAGACAGTCATTGTTCTAGCTACATAGCTTCCATGGGATAGTTGCTGCTGTTTTTTGATGGAAGAGGAGCTGCAGTGTCTGCCAGGTCCTCTACTGATAATATCAAGAAATATTTTCTCACTTGCTGCTGTCTATCTCTTGTCCTGACTAGCTTGTCTCCTCCTGCCCCTCCATAACCATACAGTAAATAGTGTTACCTCCAGCAGGTTACCTTCAGGCACTGCACAGGTCAGGCCTGGGCAGCAAGCTGCTTGCTTTGGTTTCTGGCTGTCTGCAGGTGTTGCCAGAGTGCCCTCTAGTGTCCTGTGGCAGCTCTGCAGTGCTCCAGTGAGACCCTTTGTTTTCCATCAGCTGAGCATTTATCTGGACCTCTCTGCACAAATAAATGGGAATTGGTTTAATTTCCCAGGGAACTTTGGGAGTTTGGCCTTTTCTCCCACAGCCCCTCTGGACTTTGAGGAGGCCTTTTAGAATTTCCTACAAGCCATTCCTTCAAGGAGCTTGTGGGATTGTTAACATGGCATAAGGGGCTGAAGGAACGTGGCTAGTATGAACATGCTGCATTGAAAATACTTAAATTAGCATCCTTTTCAAGGGGATATTGTCAGTGGTTCAGTCACTGCCTGACTCTCTGATCACACAGTTGCAGTATGTGTTCAGGTCATGACTGCTATGAAACCTTCCCTCACACACAGGTGCCTTAGGTGGGGTAACTTGCCTGCTTGTTCATTCCAGTCTGATGCTTGGTGCCTCAGGAACTTGGTGCTTGTGGGCAGTCCCAGTGACATAGGTCTTCTGCCTGTTGTTCCAGGGGTCAGGCTTTCCAAGCTGGCAGCTTTCTTCCTCCATGCAGGGTTCTTCCCCATGCAGCAGAGCTGCTGCCTCATGTTATGGTCACAAGCAGATCTGTGCCAGAGCAGTGCTTGTGGGGCTCTGGTCTCTTGCCACTACCAGTGCTTTGTTTAATCTGGTCCTTTGAATTAAGTGCACATGTTCTAAAAGACTGGGGCAGGCTGTATGGTGGGATGGGATTGGCCTGGATTGGGTGTCATGTAAAGTTCCTATGTGGTTAAAGAGGAGTACAGATGGGTGATGTAGCATATTGTCCACAGGTAGCAGCACAATGAAATCCTTGGAGTGTAACACTGGCAACATTCCCTTGGGACAAGAGGGTATAAAATAGGGCTATTTAGTTGCTGCCATGTGCTGGGAGGTTCCCTCCAGCCTAGTCCTGCAGTTAGGTGAGCAGGAAT